AGCCAACACTTCCATTTTCATTGGGCCACGTTATGTTGGTTTCCAGAGAGGTCATCATTTGATGGCCAAGTAAGCTTAGATGGCCCAATAAAAAGGCATGTGTTGGCTGGAGAGTGCAGGAGGCGAGTACCCCTAGCAGCTAACATTGCCCAAAAAATCGCCTTATCATCTTCTTTCTTTTTCTACCATTTTTCTCCATTCAAGCTCGCTTCTTGATCCTTATCTACTCCTTTTTCTGGCAACAAATTTTATCCTTCTTTGCTTGAGCAGTGAGCAGCAGCAACCAAATCCTACTATGTAAGGCTGGCTCCTCATGATTTGGGTCATCAAATAGATTTCCATCCCGCCAGTACCTGAGATGTGAGCAGTGGCAGTGAGCAGCGGCACGCCGGCACCGCAGCAATCCAAAATCTTTCCCTCCCCTGCGCCAAATTTCTGGAAATCTCTTCTTCAATTTTTGTGAAAGTAAAATCGAGATTTCAAACGATTTTACAAAAAAATCCCGCTTTTACGTTTTTATCATCCGATTTTAAAGTAGATTTTACTCGGAATCCATACATAACATCGTAAAATCGTACGATTTTACGATATAAAACTCGAGTTTGACAACACTGGGCTAACTTCTCCTTCGTTCTTCGATTCCATTCTTCTTCCTTTCTTCCCATTCTCCATCCCTTTAATATTCTCCTCCATTACTGGCAAACTCTTCTTCCCTTCTTTTTCTCCGGCATTGGTGATCTTCTTCCTTTCATCTGTGACTTCTTCATCCCTTCATTGTCCCTCGATCTCTTTCTTTGGTTCAAGCCTTTCTACCCTAGCTCTTCCCTTCAATAAAACCCAGTACCCAACTCTATTCTTGATCTGGCTTTCACTACATTTTGGCATCCTCTCACCCCTGCCTCTTAATTTCTTTCTACAGCCGTTGGGGCTAAGCCTTCCTCTCCACTCGTGCCTCATTCCCTTCCGATTGAACCATAGAAAACCCAATGGTCTCGATCTAGGTTTGGCAATAGTGGAATAGTTGCGCGCCTTGTCGGCAGTGAAATCCAGATCTGACAGGAGGGATCAGTACGACGAGGATCGGTGGTTGTCTTCATCCTCAGACATTTGATGGGCGCAGTCGTGATGCACAAGAGCGAGAAACTTCCCTCCCCAACCTTTCCACGCACAGCCTCTGATCTGATGAATCCTTTTCAAGCTTTCAACTTTCTTAGTGATGAGATTGAGATTTCAGATCCAAAATCATGAGTAGGGGAAAACGAGTGGAAAATTGTCGA